GAGATCAACAACACCCATATCTTCTGAGCAACAGTTTACTGTTATATTCTGCCATCTAGTGGTACCACATATAAAATGGCCTTTCCTGAACAAAAACATTCTCCAACCACTTAAAATTGAAATGCAATTTTATTATAGTCGTCATATACAGGTACATATACATGAAATGTAACTTCTGCATTTAACCCATCCCTAGCTTATTGGGAGCAGTGGGCTGCTGAGAAGAGCCCGGGGAGCGGTTAGGGGTTCTTGCTCAGGGACACTTTGGCGCAGTCAAGGACAGTAAATTGCTTGATTGCATGATTGCATGATTATTATAGCATATTTAAACTCAGGTTTACTATTTGATACAAGAATATTTCCCTAAAAACAATTACATTTCATAAAAGGGATAAAACAGGTATTTTCACAGATTTTTTTCGAATTAAATCCATTTATATATTAAAAATGTCACAGAACTTAAGACAACACACACACGCGCCAACATGAGCGCATGTGCATAAAGTTAGTGCCAGTAATGAATTACGCCTAAAAAAAACCACTTAATCCATGGTGGGAGGGAGTTATCTAGATGTTTCATGTTCCCTTCCATAACCCTAGGGCAAAGCACACTATCCAGAATTCCATGAACATCAGTAAATCTCTACTCTTTAACTACACATGTCCATATGAACTCAGTTTACAAATAGAGACCACACTCACTCAGAAACTCAGCAAAATGTGTTTAAAGTAAAACTAGCAAATTGAAACAATGGGATGAAATGAAATGTTAATTGTTCTCCAGTAGCCTAAGTTAAAGACTACATCTCAAAAGCAGCGGGAATAATATAGATCTGATAATACATCGTTGAGGTATCCACCATGAATGTCCGAGACACACTACAACCTAAGAACCTATCTCTCTATTTGCTATTAAAATAATTGATACACCATTTAATTAATCAATTTATTGAAATTATGGATTAAACAAATACGTGCAAAAAGGGGAAACTGTAGTTTTGCTGCATACTGCAGATGAACGTACTATCTAACACCTCTCTGCATGAGGAGCGAGAGGCCAGACCCCAAAATGTCAGGATCCCTGTCTGACCCATTGTGTGTTAACCTCTGTTTCCCCCCAATCTCCTCTCCTCATGTGTCTGTCTTTCCCCTGTTTGTTTTGTTGTGCCATGTGCTTGGTGTTGTTTTCTCGGGCCTTCTCAGGGGAGTTTTCCTTCACGGACTATCTGAAGCAATGAAGGATGAACTGGCAACCTGTAATAAGGCCGGCTCATTGGAGGAGCTGATTAAACTCTCGATCGGGCTGGATAATCGGATGCGGCAGAGGCGACGTGAGAGGAACTACAGGTCCCAAGGGGCATCGCCCGTGACGTCATCCTCTTCTAGCTTCCGCCCTCGTGCTCCTGCGTCAGCCTATCAGGACGAGCGGATAAGTCCTCAGGCTTCAAGTTCATCTCCCTCTTCCACCTCGGAGGTGGAGCCTATGCAGCTCAGCCGTGCTCACTTTTTGCCACAGGAGAGAGATAGGCGAATCAGAGCAGGCGAGTGCCTGTACAGAGCTGAAGTCCACAAACAGGATTCTGGGGTAGGTTCTTGCTGGAGTCCAGATGCTGAAGGATGAAGTGAAGGGCCATGTTGACTGCGTCGTCTACAGACCTGTTGGCTCTGTAGGTGAACTGCAGGGGATACAGGAGTGGGTCAGTGAGGGTTTTTAGGTGGGACAGGACAAGGTGCTCAAAGGACTTCATAACCACAGAGGTCAGGGCGACGATGATGAGGCAAAAACGAGGCCAGGAACAAATAGGCAGAGATCACAAAAAACAGGAAATTACACAACAGTTACACAATAACTTAGTCAATCTTTTCATTTGATTTTGCTTCTTTGTAAATAAATTCTTCATATTTCCTGCACTAACATGCATGACTGCAGACCAGTGCAATGGATTGTCATTTACATTTAATTCATACACTTTTGATAAGTTAGTTTCACTCAAGAGTTTAGTACAATGCTTTGAAACTGAAGCTGTAATTCTGCCAGAAACACACAGATATTTTTCATTGTCTGAAAACGATTGAAAACCTGCTCCCAGACAGGATTGCTGTAAACCATTTACTGTACGTTTATTCGTTATGCTATATTCCAATTTTTTTCTAAATTAAATGAACAACTAATCAATCACCCCAAAAAACAAAATATACGTTATGAAAAAAATAAAATCCAAGCAAGGAAACAAATTACAGTCCCACGATACAAGAATGAAATGCAGCACTTTGAACTGCAATTTTGTTTGTAAAAGATGCCATATAAAAAGTTTATGATTTTTCTTATTTACCCGCACATTTCCAGACATAAATCAGGCATGTAGTTTTAACAAAACCATGCAAGACCTTTGTTGCATGCCATTCCCCTCACTCATTCCCCGCTATGTATTCTGTAATAAAGGCATGGAACACCCCAAAATACTTGCAATAAAACAGTTGTCACTTTTTCACTTATAAAAAAACAATAGTATGCACAAGCTGCAAAGACAGGCCAGCTATTTTTAATGAAGGAACATGACACTCAGTGTGGCTCACTGATGTGTTGTTTTATATTTTGGACAACATTTGAGTTATAAGGCACAGAGTAAGAGGATATATCAGGCTGTGGATACACAGCCCCAGAAATATATTTTTCTCAATTAACTTTTTTCTATGCAGTAAATATACAGTCTGGAATACTTACTCAAATAATTCAATTAATTGACAGCGGTAAATGACTAACTTAAGGAACAAACCATTTTTAATCAAAGTTGGAGCCAAATTGGTTATTTTACATGAAAGATTTAAAAATGCGTATGTTGGTTTCAAATGAGGTAGCTGAAGTCAAGTATTTTTACACAGGCTGGAAACAAGCTTTTAGTTTAAGCAAATTTACGAAACCACTGTATTTTAATGCCTGATTGCACAGGAAAAGTGAAGGGTTGTTTTCTCCTCCAAATACTAACCTAATTTGGCTGCTTGTGTTTTTTACCCCATTCAATTTATTTTGAGCAATGTCACTGTGTTCCCAGATCTCATCAATTAACTTGGTGAGTACAATTTAATCAATAATAATGGTAAGAATTGTAATAAAGCTGAATTATCCTTTAACCTGAACCTTATTCTAATCTTAAAATCCCCCTCCAGTCAAAAATGTCTGTTACTTATTGTTCCTTCATGTGGTTGTTCGAGCTTCACTGTGCAGAATGACGTGTGGCCAGTTTGTTTTCACATTCACCAGCTAAAGTTGCAAATCAGTATTCAAAGCAGAGTATTTTTTTGTGTCTTACAATAGCATAGAGGGGATCCTTAACCAGAAAATCCAGTCTTAAGAGTTTTGATGAGGTGAGCAACAGACAAAATTTTCTCACTTTCCAAAAGGCTGATAGTTTGTCAAAATGAGTATACACACACACACAGATCCACAAACAAAGGCTAACGTATGTTGTCCTCTGGTAGAAGTCCACTCTTTCTTAAAACAGTATCGACATTTGGGATGAGTTGGGTGCAGTAGTTCAGCAGTAGGCCATCATAAATCAGCTGGTCTGGTGTCAGCTCGGTTTGTTTAGCAGCTCTGCACAGACAGAAAGCAGAGACATGACAGTTATAAACAAACTGAGCAAGACACTAACACCCTAGAATCAGCTTCATGTGTTGGTCTATATTTTTAGATAGGCTAACTGATGCAGCTCTCTGGATATTTTGGGTGTGCGACTATGTGATGTCATTGACATTTCTGTAGAACACTGGTAAAGCTTAGTATCCTTTTCCACTACAACCTTTTTTATGGTTTTGTAAAACCTATCTGCGCTTTGTTTTGAACTGGCCATCTCAGACTGTGAGACCTTTGTGAATCCAATGAAATACACAATAAACCTTTAGATTGGAAACACTTGCTAAAATGAAATTGCAAACTGTTAAACTGGTGGGTCTGTTTGATAAGTAGGTTTACTCTTTAAACAAGCAGCTACATGAACCAAGGACTCAGTGCAATCACACACATGATTTGATTGGAAGGTATACAACCATCAGTCTACCTTGTGTGGTACATCCGTGCTATATTCCTGTCAACCAAGGAGCAGCCCTTTAGTGAGCTCAGCGGTACGTGGACGGTTGCAGAAGAAACAGCTCGGGGGTTGACAATGTACTTCGTGCTTTCGTAGCTGTTGAGGATGGGTTCTTGGTACAGGTGAGCCAGGATGTTCACCCCAGACACATTCTGCCAGCTGAGGCAGCAGCTCTGCGGGGGCAGGGTTTGTGAGGTGGGAGGAGGCGGGACGGTGTTGGGGAATACATTATTCTCAAACAGGTAACACTTGTCAGCACCATATTTCTTTTCCAGCAAAGGCAGCAGCTCCAACCAACTGGTAATAGAATGATGGAAAAATACACATAAGAAACAGTTTTACACAAATTTACAATAAAAAACAGTATATAAACTATTAATAAATGCCTTATAACACAAAACAACACTATATAATCTAGTTGGAAGCAAATATGGATATGTTTAAAATGTTGCATTTGTAAATATTCACAACTCCTACTGTGACACATCAATAACTGCTATATTAACATGGATAATTCAAAACAAAGATATACTTTGTTTCAAGTTGTAGAAAAATCTACAAAACATTTCATACGACCCTATGAATGAAATGTACATGTGTATAAATGGGTAAAAATGCAATCATATAATTTGTGATTCATACATTTACTTACTCATGTATATTTATCTTTATCTTCTTATTCCCATGAAAAGGTGGCCTAAAGTAATGCTTAATTAAAATTGTATAAAATGTTAAAAACTATTCAGCACTTTTCAGGAGTATGAGATCTGAGACTGTACTTCATGCAGTCAGTGTACTGTGAAAACTTGATAAGGAACTTCATTTGATACCAGGCATCATCTCCTACGCTAAAGGTTAACTTATCAAAATACATTTGTCTCATTTCATCTGTCTACTTTCTTAAACAATGTGCTACCTTTTGACTGACTGGGGCAGTATGAGCTCATCCATATCATGCAGGGCCACGTATCTGGATTGGTACATGTATCTGTAAACACAGTCATTAAGAGCAGGAATCTGCCCAAAGTAGTGGAGGTCACCTGGACCGTGTGAGGGCAGCCACCCTCGAGATACATTCAGAAATCTGGACAAAGACCAAGGAATCACCTCGACAAGACCTAAGAAGGAGACATCAGAAAACACGTTAGCAGTAACGGGGTTTTAGCTAAGCACTTTTGTTACATCCTGGAATATTACTAAGGGTGAGCTGCATAGTTGATTATTCAACGATTCAATCTAAGGAGACTGATTCGACTGTCAATCTCACAGTCGAAGCATTAGAAAATGTGGTAATGAAACAAAGGATTCCAGTCCGGCTATATGGAGGTGCTGACTGTCTGATTTAACATAGAACTGCTTGGTTTCTCCCAATAAATGATGTGTAGCCTATTTTGGTATTGTGATGGCCCCAAGGGGCCTCTTCCAGGGCTTGTGTGCTCTGTGTTGTTGTTGTTGTATTAATTGTCTTTCAGTGTTCCTGGTTGATTGGAGATGAAAGCCATCAAGGAATTGGATGCAGCTGGCCAAGCACATGTGAGAAATTCTCAAGGCAAACTCCTCCAATATGCACTGGCCACTGTTTCCGGTCTATAAGACAAACCCCATCCTGTGAATTGAGGGCTTCTTTTCCCCTGTGCTATGTTGGACTTTTTATTTGCTGTTTACTTTATTTATCATTACCTCAGTTAACCTGGCATTATGTTTTTTCTGCAAGTATCATTTGTTATAATTCAAATTCTGTTACATTTGTCAAACTATTTCAACCTTTTTTAAATAAACCACTTCAACAAAATTGGGGGCTCATCTAACTTGAGAACTAAGATATGAGTAGTTCTTAAGTGATGGAGTTTTGTTGATAAGATATTAATCGGTGACTGTGTGGTGATGTCAGGTCTGGGGAATCCCTTTTTTGTGCTCATTGTGGTTGTTAACAACTCGTGTTTTTTTTCTTGTTTTGTCTGGTGCTGTCGGGTGAGGGAATCATGTTTTGCGTGTGCAAATTTGTTATTTTCTGAAAAAAACAGTCAAGAGACAAAGGAAGGTAAGTTTTGACCTCTTTTGCAAGTGTAGAGCTGACTCCCCTGTAGGAATATTGCGTTTCCCCTTTGGGAATGCACTGTGCAGCAACCCACACTGCACTTTATGAATGCAGTGTGGGTTGGTCCTCTGCCCTGTTGAAGACGGTGGAGAACCCATGGTTGTGGGCCTCAGAGTACCTGTTGTCTATGAAGACTGTTAAGCATTCCGGTACTGGAGAACAGGGGTGCTGATCTCATGTCGAGGGGCGGATCCCTACCAGACAAGTGAAGGCTTACTCTGAGGTGGTGATTGGGTTACCGTTATTGTTGCCGGCAGCAAGAGACGTAACACAGGAGAGAACAGGATTTTGTCCTAATATGTTGCTTTTTGGTCATACTGTGCTTGGACCGTTGGCTGCTTTGCAAGATGATTGGAGAGAGGCAAAACCACCTCAAAATCTAGTTGATTATGTCAATGGTTTCAGGCAGCTACTTTACTTCAACTAGTTGGCAAAGGAATGCTTTATAGTAAAAGCACTGAACTGGTGAAACATGTGTTGGCTTTGATTGTGAAGCCACAGAAAACACATTGTTTTGTATTTGTGAGGTTAGAGCCGATAGCGATCATGTTGATATTAGGATGTCTCTAGACTGGAAAACAAGTTACCTATATTGTAAAAAAAGGAAGGGAGTTCAACCATTAACTATTGAGGAAACACAATGGACCTGGAAAGCAGGACATGGAATGTTAGAACAGCTTTTTATCCTCCTCCTGGGGAGTTAAAGGAAGGACGTCAATGCAGGTAAAAGGGTGTTTGGCTGCTTTGCTCATACTGTTCACGTAGTGACACTGAAAGGAAACTGGATGTGTGGATAAAATAAAATACCCCTGCTGCTCATTGTGCTCTGAAGAGAGACAAAACAATCACATACATACAAAAAATAATACTTGTAAAAATACTCCACCTTTGTGTGTGTAGTAGTCCAGTATGCGCTGTGTTTCAGGGCTGCTGCTGGTCTTATAGACAACAACTCTGTTCACTCCCAATAACTGCAGCATTTCCAAACTCTGGACCAGCTACAATGCAACACAGGTATTTGGTTAATACACTACAGGCAATTAAGTACAAGACAGTCAAAAAAAGTGTTGGTTTTCTTCATTATTAAATAGTAGAAGCTTTATAAAAAATATCATTGTGCAAGGCATGAAAATAACAGCCAAGTTTCTTTAGCCATGCCTTATTTTGTTCTTCTACATGTCTCATGTCGGCCTGTTTTGGTCAGGATACTTTTGTAAACAAGTTATTTGTTTCCAATTTGGGTCTTAATAAAGTAAGTAGAGTTTGAAAATAACTGTAAAATCAACGTAATATAACGTTACCTGCAGCACGTTGGTGAATTCAAACAAGGTGGAGAGACACACGGTGAAGTTGTAAGGAAAGAAGTCATTCTGCGCCTTCTGGTTCTTCACCTCCAAAAACTCTATGTGAAGTATATCTAAGTGTCCACAGAAAAGAACCACAGTTTGAAAAACGCCTGACAAAAGTAATCACTGGGGAAGATACCAAACGCCTTTTGATGTCTGTAGAAATATACTCATAATGTATTCATTTATTTGTTGTTGATATTTCAAAGTATGAGTGAAAACGGTGACTTGCTGGTGGCACTAGAAGAAAAGTCAGAGGATCACCAGAGTAGACAGGATTCATTTGGACATGGATATCAACATGGATATCTGGCCAGAGATATTTCAGCCTCGACCAATGTGGTAGACCAACAGGCTGACATTACCATCCCTAGTGAACTGCTTCTAGCAAGGTCGAAAAGCCTTCAGTACCTTCAGAGTTGGCTGCAGCAGAGGTCACGGCGATATGAGATGGGGTCTCACAGCTCGAGGGGAGAGGACACATGATGTCTGCTGTCCCATATGCAAAGCCAAAGTGATCGCTGTGGATATCACTGACACCTTCAGAGATGCACAGTTGCTTTTGACAACGGAGGAGGCAGTGATAGACAACTGTCTGGCTCCTCAGCACCACAGCAATAACACGAACCTGGCAAAAGACGGCAAGAAGGATGTACAATGGGGAGGATGTAAACTTCAAAAATGCATTTTTATCCTGGCATTTTGAAATTTTCTTTTACCTATTGCACAGCTAATTTACTGTATTACACTTTCAAATTTTTAATCTTATATGGCTATGTACATTTTTCCCTTTTTGTGTACATTGGTCTTATAATGTTTTAATGTTTATATTTCTGCTATCTCATTAGTTTAAATGTCCACGTTGCAACCACTGAGCACCACAAGGAGTAAAACTTGAGCTGGTGCTCGGCTCTCTTCACTGACCTCCCTTTTCCCTGTGCGGTGCTCCAGATATGCTGACACCAGCAGCGTCTGTGTCCCATTGACTGCCACGAAAGGAACTGCATGAGTGAAAAATACAAGACAAATGAGACAAGAATTAGCTAGCTAGCGCACCCTGCGGTCCCTCTGACTCCCTCTCCACTGCTAGGTGACTACTTCACTGAGAGGAGAGCTCATTGCTATTTCCCAAACTCTGGTAGCTGTAGCTAAATTAATGTTTTCATCTCACGAACGAACATTGTAGGGAAAAAAGACATTTGTTGTCAGTGAATTTGCATATTATTTTGCAATTTGGCAAGCTTTCAATGATGGAGGGCAGTGGTTTTCAGCCTGGTGCCAATTTATTCGTTATGTTGTTGGAAATATTGTGTCTCAAAATGTATTTCCTGTAGAAAATTTCAACTGTATAAAGGGATTTTTTTGTAGACAGGGTTGAATTATCCACTACAGAGCCTAATGATAGGTAACATTTTTTAACATAAATACTGGGCTTCCATTTTAATGTGTCTAAAGAAATCCACCAACATTTTACAAGAATATTTGGATTTCATGTATACACCCCTACATTGTACATCCTGCATTCAGATAACACATAACACCAATGATGAAATGGTGTAAATATAAATGTGAAAAAAGTGATGTGAGATCAGAAAATATCTGAAGATAAATTTTATTTCCTGCATCAAAAACGGAAACAAAGTCAATGAATAACATTGAAACAAGAATGATCATGAGAGAGAAGTTTAGGAACAGAAAATAGGAAGTTAGAGAATACACAGCTGAGGAGGAGGAACGTTTTTTATGCGACAGATGTCAGACAAAGACATTTTACATTTCCTATAACATTGTGCAGCAGTCAGTTACAGTTACCTTTTTGTTCTGGACCATGTTTTGGAGGCACTGTTAGCTGCACTGGTAACGGGATCTCATTGGTTGCTTGGTAATACTGGGTCCATAAGTGGAAGGTCCTGTTGGACCTGCGGATCCACAGCAAATTACTGTGTTTTGGTAGGGTCATATAAACTTATCACATTTTTCTTTAAATCAACTTTTAACTGAAGTTAAAAGAACAAGTCAAGAGGTGGTAGAGGATCAAGGCTGATTCTGAAGCCATTGTTCTGCTACTATAGTTTTTCTCTGCTTTTTTCTCCATCATTAGAAACAAAAGCCTAAAAACAACAGACATTTACACTCAAGTGACGAAGACCTCAAGTGGCCTCAGTAAAGGGCAGAGGAGGTAGTAGTGTGACATTTGATTGGTTCCCACCCAAATGTAGCGCAAATCTTGAGAAATGACAAAGAATAAATACATTTGTTTAACATGAAATTATATCCATGAAGAGACAACAGTCTCTTACAGCTAAAGCTTTCAGCATTCTATGTTTCATGTCAGATGGGGGATGTAACTCACTGAGCAATAGACATCATTTCAACATTAGGTCTGATACAGCTTAAATATATACCAGGATTTGTTGGCTATTGCCCAGTTTTAGACACTATTTAAAAAATATAATTACATAACATAGTACATATTTACAAATGCAGACAAATGCTTAGGGGACTGAATTCAGCATAGCTTAAAACACTAGCTGCTAGCTGTTGTACCACTTATTTCAGGCCAAAAATCAGCTTTTGTCCTCAATTTCTGAAGTCGTCCCCGATTGAGTCTTTAGTCTGAAATGTAGCCTCAAGCTTGGTTTATACTTGCTGCATTTAGTTTTTAAATGCTTTAGAAAACAAGAGGTCTTGAAAATCTACATTTGAGTATATATTTTAAAAGCCAAATCAAATTGTTTACCGGATTTTCATTTCTTAATAATGCATTTAATACTTGACCTCTTTCTTTACGGGGCCTGTATAAAAGGTAATAAAGTAGTCCATAAGTAAGAGATATGATCTTATTGTTAGCTCCTCGGAATTGTCATGGTTGGTTAATGCTGTTTTGCTGGTTACACTTGTCTTCTTGCTTCTTTACAGGACACTTTGTTTGTAAGCCCTTTGGCATTTCGGAAATAACGCAAACAAACAGCGTGTTGAGCATAAAGGCCTTTGTGCATGCTCATAACTCGCGCGCCATCTGCGTAGGCTTGTGCTAAAGTGCAACGCGCAAGTATAAACATGATTTAGTCAGGAACACTCACACACAAACACTTTTTTAATAAATCTGACTCCTTCTGATTATCAGGAAAACAATAGAGTGTCTTCTCTGGACAGTGAGTTTCCTGCGTCCTTTTGGATTTTAACATGTCAGAGAAGCAGGACAGCAAACAAAAGCACTTAGTTGCTTTGGGGCAATATACTGTATGACAAATGTCATTAGTAGCGCAAAATCCTGTAAAATATGTGATTTGCTGCAAAGTATATTTAAAATCACGGGAAAACATTTAGCTCTAACACATACAAATAGATAAAGTGAAACATTGCTGACACTTGGAGATAGTCCTTGTGGAAGTCACATTGATGTTTACTTCTCAACCTGTGCTGTCAACAATTTTATAGGGACAAAATGAGTTCCAATATGGAGTCTATCCTCATCTGGGAAGACGCCCCAGTTGGAGTTGGTTGATGAAACCAAGATATTTGAGTCACATTGAAGTCGATCAAGCTAATGATTTCACCCACCTGTAGGTCCACAGCAGCAGGGTGAAAGAGAGGATGGTGATGACTTGACTGATGTACAACAACCATCTGAACTTCTTAAGTTGAGGCGGGAGCTGATTGTGGCCCATCACAAACATATGACCCCACTTCTGTTGGTTTTAGCTTAGCTACGTCCCCCTGATCCAGGTGTAGAAACCTGAACAAGCAGAAGTAGGTGAGGGATTTTTATCTTTTCTTATCCCTCAGATATCGAGACTCAGTGAATAGAGAAAGAAGAAGCCAACAAACAAACAAAGCCATGTAAAAAGAGTAAGGTTAGAAGGTTCTTATGACCTGTAGGGACTACAGCATTCATTTAATCACACAATACAAAAGCAATAGAGCTGCATCGATTGCAATTTTCTTGCCCGATTCCGATTTCCAATATTTTGAAAGTCTGACCTGCAGATTCCAATTTTTCCAGGTCAGCATCGTTCCGTTGAAAACACGTTGAAAAGGCGACTGTGGTCTCCGGTGAAAAAACGTTCAAAACTGGTCTAAAAGTGAATGTTTTCCTAATACTTGTTTTATTTACAGATCTCCACGTTGAAAATATGGCAGATCTCCTGAAAGCGGCTCCTGTGTGCCTTTGAAAACGACATTTAAAGAAGAAAAAGGAGATTATGGTTGTATATAAAGAACATTGTTTATATTTATATTGTGCTTAATAAATACAAATTAATGGTTGCCTGTGTGACCTGGTCTTCTATGTGCTGTAAGTGGAAACTGATGATGTGTTACTAGCATTAAGTATTTAGTTGCTATTGTGAGTGGCCACCTCATAGAGATGTGAAAGAGCTCAGTATCGTGGCAGTCTGTGAAATTTTACGGAATGCAATCCATTGCCTTCATGTTCAAAGTTACAATTGTCCTTTTTTTACTCAGTAAAAATACCATGCCACTGGAAGTTCAATTAGGATCCTTTTTCGTTGTGGACAGAAATTAAACATTGGGCTTTTACTTTAAGCTCAACCATGATGTTTTCCCCAAACCTAAAGGGTTTCGTTGCCTAAAACCACATTTATTTTTGTAGTTCAATGTCGTCCAGAAAAGAAGTGCGCCAGGCACTACATTTTTGATGGGTTACGTGTTCTGTGTTTCGTTACCTCCTGATTTACAAATTAAGCACTGCTTCCTGCATCAACAAACACTGTTGGCGCCATTAGTTATGTCTGTGTATTACGCCTGTTTATATTGGGAGCCTACCTCAAGTTGACAACAGATGGCAGTGTGGATTAGTGTGGCAGGTAAATTGTATATGGGGCACAGGTGCAACAGACCGGCTAAGGATGCTTGGGCGACGGAGAGATAGCACAGTTCTTACCACTCGCAAGCCACACCAGAGAGACAAGTCAGTCATCATATTATAACTTCCTGTGTAAACCGAAAGCCTAATCAAACGGGAACCTCACCCAAAAGTGAACGAGCCTGGAATCTGTTTATTGAAGCAATTAAGAAACATCTTTTCCCGCACCCAGCCTAGTGACTATAGTTGCTGGAATTAATCACTGTAAACACATCTGCATATTTGCATGCTACTGTAGTAACAAGGTTGCTGTGATAAGCAGTGTACAGAGTACAGGTGCAACCCTCAATGCCTATCAATAGGGTTAGTGTCTGTATCTTTTTCAACTTCCTTTTGTTGCAGAACTAAAAAATAAAAACATCTTTTAAGGCTACAGCAGTACTCTGATCATTTCAGGGTAAAGACGCTGAGGCAAACGGAAAGCTGAGGAAGCTGAACATGTCAGTGTCACAGCTCTGCCACTACTATCCAGTTTTTTCCACCTCTCACTCACCTAATCAGTTCATTCAGTGCACCTGCCAGTCACACTCACCTCATCAGCTCATTACTCTCACCTGCTCACTCTGTCTCCTCCACTATTTAAACCCCTGCCTCACACACACACTCACTGCCAGATCGTTCTCCGCTTCCATGCAAGACTCCCGCGTACACCCTTGGACTGATTCCCCGTTACCGACCCTCCCTGTTTTGGACTACCTCGCCTCGCCTTGCCTCTGCCCCGGTAACTCACTCAGCCTTCTGTCCCCGACCACGAGAACCAGCCGCTGGTTTCCTGTAAATATTCTTCCTGTTGTGGGTGCCGAATAAAATAAAGTTGTGAGTCAAACTATCCCGGGTGTTTGTCGTACTGCTCCTGGGTCCTTACTACACCCGGTACAGAGAGATTGTGCAGTCACTCCCAAACATGATATCAAGAGTTAATTTGTAGAAACGGATCAGGCCGTTCTTACAATGAATAAACCAACAGGGTGAGTGAAAATTAATAACTATGGCAATATGTCTCTTTTTGCAAATAAACCGTTCATGTAACAAATTCTTTGAAGTTCCTGTTTTTTTTTTTATGTGTGACATTGTGAGAAGTTAAAGCGCGAACAGTAATACTTAAAAAAACACAATGTATAAACTATTTTACTTAACATTTTGCTGTATAACTGCTAGTTGCCATCATCAATGTGTTGGTAACCAATTGTGGCATCTCTTTTACAACAAAAGCTATCCTCAACATACTGTACTTGCAAATGACTCGCATGTTACCGAATTCTATAGCGTTTAATTCATGCTGTAAGCATGATGACATAACTTACCTTTCTCATGCAGGCGTTCACGTTCAAATCGATGTCTGTAGCCTAATTTTCCATTTTGGCTGGTAACGGAATTATTTCCTTAAAGTTTAGTTGAGACGTCAAACACTCCCAGAGCGGTTTGGGCTACTTTATAGCTGCTTAATCAGCAGTCTGTTTATAACTGACACATAAGTAGTTAAAGACGCAATTTAGGATCGTCTGACCTCCCAACACAGCTGCACACAGTGATCCACTCAGCTGATTAGCTTAGCGGAAGGAGAACGATAAGTGGATAGTCTGATCTTAAACTATAAATGTTTAATGTAATTTCCAAGTATGTAGCTATATCGTCTTCCGTGCCTCCTCTCCTCGCGTTCTCAGCAGCCCACTGCCTCCTTTGCTGGAGGTGCCGCGGAGATGGCCTGTGTGTGTGTCTGTGTGTGTGTGTGTGTGTGTGTGTGTGTGTGCGTGCGTGCGTGCTTTGTCACTGGGCGCCATAAAACGCCACTGAAGGGTTCCAGCATATTCAACCACACGTCATAGACAGCCAGGGATGCTGGGAGGAGAATGGTATGCTCTCTGAAATGTTTTATTTTAATTCATATATTTCTTTAAATTATTTAGGGGCCTTCTGTTGGAATGCCTCCTTCAATCCCACATCTCAGGTAGGACATTTGGTTGGGAAGACACCAGCGAAACGCATATCACACACAGACTGTTGACAGCAGAACTTGCAGAGCGAGCTTGCAGTGCAGCAGAGCTTGCCAGCTGGGAAGTGCAGAAGCAGGTGAGCTGCAAGTCCATCATCAAGGTTGAACACGTGGGGACTAAATGTCTCCATGCGACCCTGCTCCATGAGACATGGCCCACCGGGCAGCGGTTATCAACAGTGGGGAGACCCAGTGAGAGATGTCGGCGGTAGACACCGATGAGATGTTGTACACATCATCTGCAAATGGAGCCGATGTCCCAGCGGGGGTGACCAGCGGAAGTTGCTAGTTGGAACAGGGGTCTCGGCGTCATCGAGGTCCAGTTCATTCGCATTGCGGCAAAGCATCACATTGAAGCGTGATCCCACCGCTGCTCACTTCTTTCATTTTAATTTCTGTATTTGGGCAGGCACTTCCTGATTGGCTGGCTATGCTTATGTTAATTAGCTCCATCCCAAAAATTCAGGGAGTTATAGGTGCTGAGACTTCAAGTGTGACAATCGTCCCTGGTCTCCCCTAAACCAAAATAGAACCTATTTTGAGTGCTCGATGGGGCCGTAAAAGCGTGAAATTTGTCTTGGTTGAGTGAGAACATGAGTCTGAAAGCATGTCTGACAACAGAAGCATGAGTTACCAAACATATATAGAACTATAATTAGTTAAGTTTTACCTCCTGCAGGGTATAATTTGTGGTAAACCATGCCGGAACGTTCCAAATTGGGGCAACTGTCATACCCAAAAGTGACCAACTGCCAAAAACTGATAACAGGAGCGCGTAGCCTGTTATTACTGTTAGGCCACTTCACACGTCTACAGCTGCATTTATATCAAGGTTATGACGTGCAAATAGGCTATGGGCTACTACACATAACTGTACGTCTTTGGTAATGGCAAAGGGATGTCTTTGAGAAACGTAAACGTTTCTTGAAACTGAATAAACGCAATTGAAACTGTCAGGTTTCAAAGGCCAAAACGGAAATAGGGGATGGACCCAAATTTAGGGAGACAATGAAACAGAGGGTTGAATTATGGTGACTTTAATTACCAAAAAAAACTGTTCAACACAAAAAACTAGAGCAGGAGAGTCAAAAAATGTATAACAAAAAAAGACCAAGAAAACAAAACTATCAAACAGGAAACATGACGGAGAAGGGCAGGAATCATTGTCAAAAAAACCAGGAAGCAGAGCAGAAAGCAGAGCAGGAATCACAACAGGAAACACCACGGACGAAGCGACAATGAGACAGGGGACACACAGGGAAGGTGAAGGTGATGAGACACAGCAGGGTTCAGTTAAGAGCGGGGCAGACAATCACCAAGGCCGGAAACAGACAAGGACAGGAGGTGAAGTTAACACAGGACACAAGAGGCAGGTCAAAATAAAACATAAGAAACAACTAGGCAAAAACCCAAAACCGCGACAGAAACAAGTGTTTGCAGTTAAGTAATCAAGCATGTATTCATATGATTTAGGCAATAGGCCTGCGATTGTAGTATGTGTTTGGTATTTCTAATATTCTTGTTTTTATTAGAAAACAAAAAAGTGATTATAGCTCTTACTTTGTCAGTGAAAGGTTATTTATGTGTCACAATGACTTGGTTTCGTTCATCCGTTATATTTGACAGATTAGTGCATCCTTTCTACCTGTTAAAATACCATATCAGGGCCAATGCTACCCATAACATGCAGATTCCACTTGTCAGAAAAGTGACTATAGCTCCTACCGCATCACTGATCAAAATGACATCACAAGGGCAATATTTGACAGATTAGCCAACCATTCCTAAAGTAAGTTAATGCCACTTCTTAAGCTAAAAGCCACCTTTGACAAATAGGGTTGAAGATCAGCTACAGCCTGAGACTGAGAAGCCTCTGAGGCAAAACAGCTTCCACCACCTGCTGACTTAAGGAGTGTCTGTTATCTTCTGCACACTTTCAAAGTGCACAGCTTGGTGATGAAAATGCTCCTTAAGAGAGTACTACTTCATGGACTGAAAGAAGTCTCCATTGGGCCACCAGAGAAATCTTAGCATGTTACAAATTTCAGCTGCACACTCACCCCAATGAAACATGGCCTTAGTGTCCACTGGGAGCGTTCATGGACAGCCCCTACCGCATCACTGAAAGGTTATTTATTTCTCCAAATGACTTGATCTTATAGACACGGGTAATATTTGACAGATTATAGCTAACCAGTCCAAAAGTAAGTTAAAATGTAAATGCTACTTCTTAAGCTGAAATGACTCCAATCAATGAGCTGATGAGATCAGGAATGATGCAGCACAGTCAAACCCAACTCAATCCTTCCTTTGGATGATACACACCATGGTGCAGAGAATACCATACTTTGCCATGGTTATTATTATTATTTTATGCCATATTACACTTCTCTACTGACTACTTGAATTGAGAATACAGTAGCTGCAACCCTCAGTCATGTCATGCCTTAAACCCACGCGATTTTAAATACAGGATTAAGGACTATTTGACCACTGAATGCACATGTCCTGTTACTGAACAATATCAATTTATTGTTTATCATGTGCTGTTTGTTTTAAGCCTTTTGTTTGTTCTTTTATGTGAAACTTTTTATGCTGCCATCCTGGCCAGGGCTCCCTTGACAAAAAGATGATTAGGTGATGATGATTAGGAAAGATTCCTGAGGGTTAAAAACAAATATGAGGCATCTCTCTGAGCTCCTTTCCAGACTCAAGACACATTACTATGCTAGTTTACAGTTATCTGACATGCTCACCTCCTTTCTCTTTAGGTGAAGCAATGTTGTTGTGACCATCCACCAGCTTTACAGAATGTTTGACCATTTCCACAAAGTGACAATCTTCCATTGATGGATCCAGCTGTTCACCCTGGCTGCACTCAGATGAGTCTTTTTTTAAACATCATTAGCAGTGATTTCAGGTTGTTCACAGTTTGGCTCCACCAGTGCAACACGGTCCATGAACAGTCCAACCCAGTATACAGCCCTCCATCCTAACTTGGAATCCCTTTTATTGGTTCCAGTGAACAACTGACGATCTCAATAACCGAACTGTGTACTAAGTATAATGCATTTAGTCAAGTTTGGTTGTATGACCATTACTGAGCAACATAGCTAAATGTTTGGGTGAAGATGAGGTAATGAGTTCTGTAGCATTTTATAAATCTACTGTGATTTTACCACATACATTACAAACACTGCAGATGATAAATAAATAAGGATAAGCAAACTACACTTTCTACATACCTAGAGGACATTTGTGCTTTTACTTTGGAACAGACAGAGGCCCAGGGAAAAAGTATTGTCAGGAACAAATTCTAGGAATTAAATGGGGTAAAACATTGTGCATTTAGGGAACTTCAGAAGCCTGAGGTGATACCGTTTACGTGGATTGACAATCTTGTTTCACAAGGTGCTGTTCATTTTCAATAAAACATTTGAACTGGCATTCAAGACTGAGCAGATCAAATTCCAAAACCACAAGCAAGAACTATACAAAATGTGTCCATAGCCCCTAACAAGAGCCCCATGGAAGTCTGCTTCCACGCACTTCACCAGCAAACATCATCCTATTAAGTTTTTAAATTCAAACTCTCTGCAATACGTTTTGTGCACAAAAACATAGTGTGTGAGCAGAACATTTTGAACGAACTTGAATAATGTCTCTGCACATACACACGTGTGTGTGACTGGTCTGAATAGAAGCTTGAGTTGAATGTGTGCATGTACGTCATAGACATCCTTTGTCCTCCCCTGTACATCCCCCATCCTGTGTGTCTGGAGGATGAGGAGGTGTGTCCGTTTGTTATAGAGGGACAGGAGGAAAACCTCAGCTTCAAAATTCACCTTTCTAGACAAGGAGAGGTAAAGTGCTGCTCCAATAACGGATGCTTTTATTCATCAACAAAATCATGGTAGAGTGAAAAGGTCAGATGTTTTTTCTGACAGTATTGTTCTCTGGCTGTCCGTGTAGTCTGTGTTATGCCCACATTATTTGACTACATATTAGAATAAAAACATTGGGCTTAATTTAATAGATTTAGGAATGCTTTTTCCAGGTATAACATTTATTTAACTAGTTTAATTACTGACATCTGGTTCTTGGCGGCCTCATTAGTCCAACAGAGCAGGAAATGCAAGCAGTCTGACAATCACACAAACTATAAGGAAAAGCCCATATTTACCAGAAATATACATTTATTGAATTGTTCAGTCGTACACCAGCAACTTCTTAAAGTCTTCAAAGTTAATATGAATTACAATTTAAGTGTAAACCTTTTTAATGCAGCGACAAAATTGACGGAGACGTGGTCGGTCGGGCTGTCGCAGTGCAGAGCGGCGGTCGTGAGCTAAACATTTGTATATAACAAATATAACCTTAGGAAAATATGTCAAATTTGCAAAAGCTAAATGTTTTTTTCGCCATTCAATAAGCTATCCTTTATTGAAAAAAATGTTTAATGGCTGTCTGTACCAATTCATAACTGTCAGGTTTGTAACAATACAATAAAAACAGCCTGAGACCTTTACATGTTCAATATGCTGTGTTATCACACATTATAAACTTTGTAGAGCTGTATGAATATGTTGTTGATTTTCTATTTGTGAATATAAATGTGTAATATAAAGATGTGAATACTCTTAGTTGGAGAGCAGAGTTACCTTGACCTTTGACCTTAAGTGATTCTCTTATTAAAAATTGGGTATTCATACATATTTATTTCCCACTCTCACTGATTAGAGATAGTTACAAAGAACAATTTGACAACTCATGATTTAGTGACAATGCTGTTTGTTTCTCTGTAATCTTGATGGCTTCCATCTCACTCTTATAACCATGTACCAATGAAATATAGACAGCATTCAGATCACTCCAGTTGGTGTTAAAATTAGGACCAAACTAAATAGTAGGTCATTTTCATTACCTCATTGTTACTCTTCAGTCTAACAGCTGGACAAAGTCCTAAAAGGTGAGCTAAGAGACGTAGTTGAACTTGCATTTTGAAATCCTAGATTGGCAGAGTGAGGCCTCACTGACCTCTTGTATCTGCTCCTAGCTAGTGGAGACATTTGGGTCATTGCCACCAGCAGTGTACAGTACTAAATGCAAGTAGGCTGGCTCCCTTCCATCATAAAAGGCCTCCAGCCGTTGGCCCTTTAACCTCAGCAATCTCTTCTCAAGTAATTTGAGAATTTGCTCAGATACTGACTGCCTTTGTAACACTGACCCATTTTAGCTCAGAACAATGGCTGAATTGAGTGAGACCCTGAAAGCATCCTCAACCTTCTGCATTTTTGTTGTGATTCTGTGACTGACAACTGAGGAGGAACGCAAAGAGGCAAAAAAGAAAAACATCAGTATTGAATTCAAGCGTGCAGTACAAGTAGTAATTTATCAAAGTATCAAAAATAAGAATAAAACCAAGATTTTACATACAGTCCGATCTCTCTATGTTCACACATTCATTTACTTGCTCAATACATTCTGCAACGTTGCACACGTAATGTTAGAATAAAACATGTTTTACAGTGTGTGTGCGCCCATTGTTCTGTTTACTTGGCAGTATACACCTTGCCTAGAGATCAACAACACCCATATCTTCTGAGCAACAGTTTACTGTGTTCCTGTTATATTCTGCCATCTAGTGGTACCACATATAAAATGGCCTTTCCTGAACAAAAAACATTCTCCAACCACTTTACTAGAACCTTCTCTCCATTTCTTAACGACCTCGTTATTAATTTACAATAGTAACATTAAATATAACACTACATCATCACCATGATGAGTTAATTACAAGTAATACTAAAGTTACATGTGCTTCCCTGACCTTAAATGTGATACATCTTAATATTTACACACCAGAACCAGTGCCCTTGTGGACAGTTTCATTGCTGTTCTGCAGTTTGCTCAGGTCTCCAAGGCGTTTTAAAAAGCTAAAAAAAAGCCCAGAGTTTTCAGTCTTATTCCACGTACTTTTCGGGGGAACATTTTCACTATTCCTCGGCGAGGGTTTGTCCATGGGCTCCACTGATTTGCCCACTTCGTTTTGTTCCCCAAGACCATCATCTGGAACATGGGTTACAGAAACATTTGGCTTGCTTGGCTTTTCTCCTGACAGAGAATTCTGGTCTTGAGCACCAGATTTTTGAAAGTTGTGAGACGTGTCAGTAAAGTCAAACACATGTTTTGAGGGATTTTGTTCAGCGGCTTCTACTGGTAGTGTCCCTTTTTCTCTTGCCACAGAATTAGGAGTTCTGACTGGAGGCGTAGTGAACAGATTGTCTTCCTCTGCCTCAGTTTTAGGGAATTTGGTAGGTAGAGTATAGCGGCGGCCAAGGTTACGTTTGGAGGAGGACTGAGGCTCTAGCAAAAGTCTTACTAAGTCCTTATTGGTGGGGTCTTCGGGATATCTCTCTGTGTCCTCATCAAAGGTGCGTTGACGAGGCAAGGTGCTAATTGGACCAGGAGATTTCTCATTGTCCCGAAAATAGTCATCAGATGAGACACTGCTGCGGCTGTTCTGAAAGTGCAAAACCTTTTTAGATGCTTCACGCAACCTTTGAGCCTCCTCCTCGTTATTATCCTGTAGATCGTCCTCACTATCATCACTGGCAGCTGAGAAAGATCTGCCTGAGGAGGAAATGTCGGTGGTCTTATTGGCTGGGTGTGTAAAACCTTTGGAGTCCTTTTTTATGGAAGTTTTCCCCTCTTGTTCATAAGGAATACCACATTTTGCCTTGTTTTCCTCACCATTAGACTGATCTTTCTTTTGTGAAAGGTTCTCTGTGAGTTCAACTGCTGAATTCCACTCTTTTCTGCACATGTCCTTAGCTCTTAAAGATATTCCTCTTATTTGTTTTCCAGTAGGGAGGTTCACCTGAATTTCTGATAGCCTCCCGTTGTTGGGGCTGCCAATCGTGGGGCTTCCATGAGTGGATGAGGGCCGACTTCCGGGTCTCCTCCGAGAGACACCCTTCGTAAGGAAGTTCTGTAGTATTGACTGCAACGCAATTCCATCCATTTCCTTGTCTCTACTGGAGCAGGTAGCTGTGGACCTACGTTTGGCGACGCTCTGCAATCTGTCTCTGTGTCTCCGCTGCACCTCTGCCACCTCGCGAGACTTGTTTTCCTGCAGAAAATCACAAAGTTAATAGATCACACAGGAGTTGTTTTTTTTAATACCTCAGTCAAGGACAAAATAACAGTACACAGGATTACCTGCATGGCCCGCATAAACCTCTCACAAAAGGAGTTGAAAATGGAGAAGCACTCCTCCAATTTGAACATGTTTGGGTTTTCACAGAAGTACTCTGCCACAGAGTCACTCACTGACTGCAATTCCTGAAGATCAGACTGTATTTCTGCCAAGCAGACCTCAGTCTCCTAAATGGAGCCCAAATCAAAAAAACATTAGAACATCACCATTACAATTCACACAAACTGGGCTGAATTCCAAGACAAAAGGCTTCCTCACCTTCAGATAATCCTCCATCTGTGCCTTTAGGTCTTCTTGCTTCAAGGTGTCAGCTTTGGCAGCTTGAACTTTCCTTACCTGTTTTTCAAACTCTGCTTCAATTTCACCTTTATTCATTCTAAGAAAAAAAAAAAAAGAAGATACATTGTGATGTTACAGCAGATAAAAAGAAAGATATGAACATATGCGGAGTGCCAGATTGTTTACCTCGCTGCAGCTTCAAGGTGTTGGAGTTGGTCTGTAAATGTAAGCAGGTCAACATCTGCCTTCTGAGCTTGCTGTGGTGAATATGAAAGTTTGTATAACTTTTTTATTTTTAAATCCCATTTTACAAACATTTCTTAACATACAGAAAAACTCAAACAGATTGAAGTAATAAAAGCTACTTGCCATCACAACATAATGCATAAGATTCATTCCGGGTTTGTTTGCTTTGGTGTCCACAAGCTTTAACAAAGAAGACATTCGGAAGCCAATTGCACTGCCTGCATAGCCACCCTGTGATCAAACAAACAAAATGAGACTCAGAGATGAACAAACACAAAGGAAAGCTATCCAAGACTCCACCATCCCATATTATACACTCACAGCATTCATGTAATTTCCAGTCTTCAGTACCAGCCGAATGACAGAATGGAGATTATCAGAGTCCAACAGCTCTGAAATAAGACACACATGGTGAATTCAAAGTCGAAATTGGTTTACAACTCTGTTTTTGCTCAAAATCTGTTACTAGTCCTATCAATTTAAAATCCAGGAAAACGAACATTACCCTTTCCAGCTGCTGTCAACGTGCCAATGCATCCTTTCAGTTCATTCATGAGGGGGAAAAATTCCTCTTTGAGCACCAAGCTGCTAAGACGCTCTTCATAGCTAACACACACACACACACACACACACACACACACACACACACACACACACACAC